TGCTCTGCCAGGTAATAGTTCATGTTCAGCCCCCTATAATAATATATTTACATGACAAGCTAAAGAAAAACAAACAAAAACAATATCTTAACATTAGAATAGATTCATAAAACAGACATTCAGATCAGAAGAATCAATATTTGTGTAACGATGAGACCAGGTAAGAGGCGAGGATCCAGTAGTGCGGGGTGAAGCGNGATTCACTAATTTCCAGTATCACTTAGTAACCTGGGTTAGAAGGCTCGTCCAGCGAGCTGCATCACCAGGTAATGTAAACGATTGGTAGCGAAGCTCCCCTCACGGCCGATGAGAGAGAGTCTCGCGATATTTCAGGCGAGTTTGAGGTTTCAGAGCATAGTAGCCAGATCGCACAGAGGCAGGAACTTTATTGTGAGCACTCAATGAACGGAGGCTGAAGTTATGTACTGTAAAAGACATGCATTTATTCCTAGCTAACACTACAACTAACATAAGACAGACATTACACTCGATACAAACAACAAACACAAAATAACGGAATAAAACAAACAATGTAATTATGGAAATGCAATGACCGGATTTAAATGAGTAACCTTAAAAGGGAAATACTGTTCTGCAAAGCAAGCACAGTTTGTGGAAACACGACCCTAAAGTCATATAGCAGGTTAACAGAACAGCTTAAGTTGTGAGAATGAAAGGAAGTTGGTTTACTTGGTTGCAGAGTGTGGGGGGAGGGGTGTTGGTGGCAGTTGGTGGCAGAGGCTGATGAGCTGACGGGATGATGGCACTCAGGAAGGCGCAGCGTTTGGAGCAGTTGTTGGAGTGGAGCCCCTTGGATTCTCTCTCCTTGTGCAGCTGTAAGGTGAAAGGCTTTGTCTTGGTTGCAGTTCTCTGTCGGGTAGCAGGCCTTCACTGGCAGGCTTCAGGTGGGCTTCTTGTGGGCTTCTCTTCTCCTGGGCTGATGTTCTCTGTCTCTCTTTGGGCTGATGTTTTTTCTACTGAGGTGTCAGGTTTTATAGTCTAAAGTTCATGAATTGGGATGACCAGGAATTCGAAACCTGAACCAATGGCTGACCATCCATTTGGCAGGCTTTCGGAAGGGTGTCTGTGGCAGTCCTTTTGGGATTTATGACCAGACTGATTCTCCTTTACTGATGAATTTCATTCGGCTGGTGTAATTTACATGATACATACACTTTTATGGTAACCACTGACCAGATTTGGAATCAGGAGTGATTTCCCATCAGTTTGATACCAAACATGCCATACCAGCCTAGCGGTTCACACCTCATACCATCTGTATTAATTAATTATCAATTACTTATATCATGTATGTTACTGACTCACATCAGTATATGGTATAGGTGTTTTGGGTTGCATCTCAACAGATGTTACACTTTGTGCAGACATTACATGACATATTCACATTCAAACAGCACATCTTATCCTTAGATAGGCGTGGCCGTTAGTTTGTGGTAATACCAATTTAAGTTGCACATGAAGAATCTCTGAAAGCTAGGACACCCTGAGCTACCTGGTTACTAGGGGTGTGCAAAGCAGCCGGTATTTGTATCTGTATTTGTATTTGTTGAGGGGGGAAAAGTATTTGTATTTGTATTCGTATTCGAGTAAAATTCAAAATAGGCGTAAAAATCCAGTTTTTTTGCGTTGCACTTCTAATTTACGCTATAGTGTAAGTATTCTTTAATTATATCTATTATAATAACTATGGATATGCAGAAGACAGAGTAACTTAAACGTACCATACAGTATAACTCCTACAAGTGCATACAATTCGTCACAACTACACAAGCATTGTTTT